AAATAATGATCTTTAAAAAAAGCATCATATGACCCCTTTAAATAGTCTAAAACAGATGGCAGGGTCCCATTGTGACAACTTTCCTCATATAGTTTGACGTCATGGCCCCAAAAACCTACATGTAATAAATAAACAGATTTTTTTTCTGATGAGCAATAATGAAATTCTTTTTGTGGCTGTGAAGGTATTCATACAGAAACAGACTTTCAAAAATAAACTCTGAGAAATGTTCACTAGTGTAAAAACTAGCCTCCCTAAGAATTATCAATAAAAAAGCCACTAAAGTACATACACCAATCTGTTGAGATTCATGCTTGACATGAAAGAAGTAATATTATGTTTGGAGTCTTTAACACCAGTTTAACCTAAAAGAGCTTGTGTCTATATAGAACAGTTTGTACTTACATCTTGTATTGAGACCAGAATAAATGGTGCATGAGAATTGGATCGATTTCTAAATGCAGGCATCAGTGCTTTTTGTTCATGGCCACACAAGAATTAGTTCACTGAAAGTAGTGTGCATATAGAGAATGATGTTTTCAATGCATCTGATTCTTATTTTGTTGACCATATGGTTAATGCCACAAATGAACTTTTCATATGAGCTTCAAGATACAATTCACACTCTGAGAGAGGAGAACGCGTACCTACATCACAGACTGAAAAACCTCACGCAGACACTGCGAGAGCTGGGAAAACTTCTGGATCACTCACATGGTGAGAATAATCTGTCTATAGACCTTTGATAACATATATGAGCCGGTGTTTGTAAGCAATTTTATATTTATATTTTGTTTAAAGAATTTTTCTATCCATTTATTAGAAGTGTTTATATTTCCACAGAGTCTGCTGTGAATCATGATAGTGACAAGTTGCATGCCTGGAATGAGTGGATTAAGAACGGTAATATATGGCTTTTTTACAGCACTTTTGAAATCTGAAAAGCTTTATCACCTTCTGATATATAGGGAATCAATGCAGTATATGATTGAACATGAGCTTACAATGTAATGTAAGCAAGGCTAACAGCTACTGTACTCGAGTCCATGTATAAAAGTATTGTGTGTAAATGTCGTATCAAAGCAGACTATAACTCTGTTACAAACTGAGATGCTGTGTGGTGTTTTTCAGGTATCAGCACAGACACTCATCTCATGTTAGAACAAGCTTTCTGCCTGCCAGATCTTCATGCCAATGCTAATTTATATTTCCTAGAACAAATTCTTCTTGTTGTGCCAGGTCTCATTTGGATTGGGATCCTTCTCATGTAAATATGGTCATAATATTCTAATCTAACCTTCCTGTTGAATTCTACATTTTTCTAATTCAAATTTGTAAATATTAAC